TGATTTGGCCGGCTGAGGGCCCCGCCTGTAAGCAGGCTCTGGGTCTTCCCCTTTTGCCCCTTGTAGGCAGTGTGACTAGTCAGGCGGGCCGGGCCCTGTAAGGAGGGTGCCGGTCTCAGCCTTCTTGCTCCCTGGGAGCGGAGGAGGATTTTCCCGTGGAAGGCTGGAGGGCAAGCGGCTTGCGGCATGGAGCTCCTTTCCAGCCTGGGAGCAGTCTTTTTACCCTTGTGAGAGTGTGGATGGCGAGAGAGAGGAGTGCCTGGGTGCGAAAGCGTTTGTTATTTTCTTTTTGTTCTTAAAATCGCTGCAGCGTGCTTTGTTTTCTTCCCAGTGCTGGAAAAGGGCCGAGATGCGTCCTCGTAGCCTTCTCCTCCCACCTCCTCACCCAGGGGTAAAGCAACATTATAGATTTCCATGCCTTCTGGCCTTGGGGAGCATTAGCCCCCTTCCTCTAGTATGTGTGGGCTCGTGACCTCCCTGTATGTCAGGGTACAGGTCTTATGCCCCCTCTTTTTGGGCGGCTAGCGTGTTGTTTTGATGGCTTGGTAGCTCGCATGCAGGGTTCCTTCCCTCCTTGTGGGAAGGTGATGTATTCCCTCCCCGAAACCCTGGAAACGAGTGCCCTGACACTTAGCCAGCCGTTCTTGTGTGCCCCCGCCCCCGGCCTGCAGCCTGTAAGCAGCGTGCAGGTCCCCTTCATTCTCCGGGTCTCGTTCCACTTGCAGAGGTTGGCCAGAGAGAATAGCCACGGACTACAGGGAAGCCTGCCGGCTTCTGGAGGATACTGAGTGTGTTGGCTCCCCGAGACGTAGTGACCTTTCTGCAGCTCAGGTCCAAGTCTCTGCTCCTCTGCTCTGCTGCACCGGGCACTATTGAGAAGGCCTCCCCCGGCACCCTGTAACCAGGGCTGCGCCCCCACCCCTTCTGGCCGTGGGGGAGGAGGCCTCAGCTCTGTGTCTTCCATGACAGGAACCTGAAGTCATGGGGCTTATGACCCCAGACACGGAGCAGCTTTGACCCTTGATCGAGACCACCTGAGGCAGCTGTCAGCTGGCATTCGGGGCTTTGCAGGTTGTCTCTGGGCTTCATGCCCCAGCAGCCAGCTGTGTGCAGGGAGCACCGCCCTGTAAGCAGGGTCGCCGGTGCTTGCAGTCACGGTTCATTGTGCTGCCCGAGCAGTTCTGTCCAGAGTCCTGGCCCATCGCGCTCTGCTCCTGGCTGGCCGGGACGTCGGCCGC